ACACTACACACACACACACACACACACACACACACACACACGGGATTTCTAACTACTTAGACTTCAAAGCTGATTGGACCCTACTTCTGAAGCACAGATGCCAGAAAACAATTGGTTTAAGTGGGAAGCCAGGATAATACAATAACTATTTTACCTGCATGCAGGTTTTGGCCAGCGTTGTGCCAGAGTACTGAATTGGTACCATATAGGTCCTTAAAATTGATCAAACGAGTTGGCACTTATCTAAAAAATAAGACTAGAGAAGAAAAGCAAGGATTTCTGTCTGCCAAAAAGCAGCCTAATTGTAACCACACATGAGAGAGCCGATAAGCTTGTCTCCATCACCAACAGAAGTTGGTCCAATAAAAGATATTACCTCACCCACCTGGTCTCTCTAATGGGAACTACTGGCATTTACAAAACACATGCAGATTAAATGACTTTGAGGAAGAATATCCTAGTCCCTTGTGTGTAAGGGTTAAAACCTCTTAAGTGTGTTTTAAATAAAGAAGACAAAAAATGGTGTAGAAATGTTTGTTCAAATAACTGTTCCATTTAAAACTGTATACTTCACAAAGCTTTCTTTGTTGTTCCTGGCATTTGTGAGATGAAATAAAGCTCACCAATCAGAAGCTGTAATTAAAATCAGTCACTTTCTTTTGTCTTGCAGAATCTTCGTCAAGAAATTGAAATAAAATTTCATGAAGACACATTTGACTGGAACCAAGTACGAAACAATGATGCAGCAGGACTGCTGAAGATGTTTATAAGGGAACTCCCAAGCCCCCTTTTCACTGTAGAATATCTGCCTGCCTTCATCACACTAGTGGAAAGTAAGTAGAAAGAAATTAGTGTAAATGGATTCATATGAAAAATACAAACGAGCTAAAGAAGAGAAAAGAGATTGCCAGTATGTCATAACCATTTTGATTTCCTGTAAGCTTTCTTTTCAAATAGTACTTGGCATATTTGACTAAACATATAGATGTACTAGTTAAATAGCTATTTAAAGCAGAATATTGTAAACATTGCAAGCACATAGTGGTTGAAAACTGGCTTTCGTACATAGATTTTACCCTATTTGATTCACATGAACTATACATTTAGTAAATAAAAATTCTCTCCGCTGTAAAATCTAATCACCACACTAGTTAGTATTTTCTTAGATTTTGTTTTCTTTCATGAAAGATTATTTTTATCAGGATCTTTGCGTAAGAAATGTGTTTGCTTGTGGAAGGCTGCAGGTAGCTAAGTTTTGGGTCCTAATTTTCCTGTGCATTTTGATTCTGAGCCACTTTTTCTATTTTCAGTTATAAGGATGCAGTAGTGCAGATTTTACTTAGTCAATTCCTTTTGACTTCAGTAGAGACTTGTTTGGGTTAGGGCTGAATGAGAAGAGTAGAATGGTGCCTTTATTGGGTAAAATGGTAATAGACCGTATGTTCTTATAAAGTCAGATTGTGACCAAGCAGTCTGTGTATGTTCAAAGAAGGAGGGAAGGTCTAGCAGTTTACTCCATCTTGCAAATTGCACACAGGCTGGTCATGAGGCTCACCTGAGTGCATGGAGCTAGGACCTCATGGGGGAGAGTATGAAGGAGGTGAGATTGACTAGAGGTGACCACACTCTTCACCCCATATATACTATAGCAGCAACAATATTTCCTCTTTCTCCCCCTACCCACCCATCCACTCTTCATGTTAGGGAGCTCCAGGAGTCATTATGCTTCCAGGAGTCACATTCTACCCCCAGAATAGGCTACTGCCTTTAAGGCACGTTGGCCCCTTAGAAATCTACACTTATGCAATACATTTTTATAGAGAGCCAGATTTGGGACTAGGCACAAGAGTGAAATTAAAATAAAAGAAGGATAAACAATCAATCCACAATCTAAGGACAGCTGGGTTCAGTAAATCACTTAACAAAGTTAGTCTGAAACTATCCTGAAAATAAATTTTGCCATATCATCTTGAAACTGAGAAATACTATATTATAGAAGTGTGAGCTGATATACAAGGCAAGCCCACAGTGACATCAAAGAGGAATTGGCCAGTAACCAGCACTGAAGGATTTAAGCCTGATGTGACCCAGAGAATAGGTTATTCAGGGAATGTCTCCCCAAAGAGGAGAGATTTTTCTAAAGATCCCTGCACCCTGTAAAACCAGAATTGGAGATAAAAACAAAGTTCTGTGCATTTGTATCATTGCATTTCTTTCTTCCTATTTGCCCAGATTAGTCCACTATAATTACAGGTCCACGACATGTAAGGAAAAAAATACCCATTAAACTTAGGACATTTCTGGTGAAAGGCCAACGTTTAATTTAGAAGAAGAAATGAATGCCATGTATCAGAGCAGCATCTGGGATTCTCAGCACTTATTGCAGCAAGGAACCTTGCCATCTACAAAAGAAGTCTCTGCATCATTTCTCAGTATAACCTTTCCCCTTTAAATGTAATCCTATAGTTTGTCTTTATGGCCCTGTAGTAGTTGAAGGTGAAAGCAGAGATAAAGTTCCAGATGCACAGCTACAGGATAACTCAAGAGGGTGGGTGAAAAAGTGACCTTACTACCTCCCTGATCCTGTGGTGGTAACTATATGCCATCCATTCCCAAGCAGCATTTCCCTAAATCAACAGAAGGGAGGTGTTTGATAGAGGAGCTCTATGCCCTGGTTACACTGTTGGCATAGTTGCAAAGTAGCCTCGCCATGTATTTCAGAATTCTTTCTAGCACAAAGCTAATGGTAATTCTGACTTTTAAAATATTAATTATTATATTCTTAGAAGTCTCCAAGGTCAAGTTACAGTTACAAGCTTTGCATCTGTTGATCATGTTGTTGCCTGATGCCAACAGGGATACAGCCAAGGTAGGTGCTTTGTTTGATGATTCCTGCATCTGTATTCTTTGACTTTTAAATGAGAGTCAGGGTTTGTTTGTAACAGCAAATTATCAGACACCTCCCCCGCAAAAATATTCATGTTGGTTTGTTGTTATCACGCTGAAAAGTTCTACAGTTCTCTGCGAATATCTAATGGAATACAGCTGGTTGTGATATTTATTAGGAATAATATCTGTTATGGAGGTAGCCCCTTGCTTAATAGTGAAGGATTCACAAACATGTTTTTTTTTAATTAATTATTGGCAGGTATTTGCCAGATAGTTTGGATCAATAACGTTCAAACTATGGGCTTTTGCAGAGTGTTCTCTTTGACGGTTTGCTAATTACATGTTATGTATCCATTTATTTCCAGTTTTATTTCATGTTGACATCTTTGTCTACTTTTCAGTGTGTGGATTTCTTTTATCATAGTTTATAATCATGTGTTCCCAATACTACATATTAGTAGGACTCCATGGCCAGCTGAGTAGGGCTCCGTTCTTGGAACTGTCCTTGTCCTACCGGGTGACCTCAGACAAGACATTTCATCTCCCTGTCCCTCTGTTTCTTTGTCAGCAAAATGGGGATCATGATACTGACCTCTTTTGCAAAGCACTTTGGTATAAGAAATAGATAGTATTAATAATAGTATTTGGCCAAAATCCATATCCATGAGCAATGTTTCACAGGGCAGTCTATGGGTGCCCATAATAGTGCTAATAATTACTGATTGTAATTTATTAAATGAAATAGAATTAGAAATACTAAAGGTAAAAAATGAATGTTCCTATCCTTTCCCACCTGTAAAAAAAGCATTGTTTTAATTTAGAAATGTCTTCAACACAATTTCTGTGGGGTCATTTCTGAGTTTCTAAAAATGTGTTTATCGTAACCGGCAGTTGTTTAAATAATGTTCTAAAATAATAAACTGGCAGAATGAATCCTCCAAAGAACTCCCCACAAACAACAAAACCTCAGTAACAACAAAACCTCAGCCTACTCAAGTGCACTCATTCAAGTGAAAGCCTGAAAAAAATGATGATTCTTGCACTGCGCCCAAAAGGGCAACAAACTGCCCTTGATACTGGCATTGACATGCAGCAGTGGTTTCTAGAGTTGAAGCCCACTGCTGAGAACTCTTTACTTCTATGATCCCAGAAGTGCAGGGTTGGTACTTAAGGAGAGAGGTGGTCATTAAGGTAATCAGGACCCAAACAATGTAGGACATGTAGATCAAAATCAACATCTTGAATTGTATGTGGAGATCAGATAGTAGATAGCATAATTTATAGAGCAGAGATGCAATATGCTCTCTCCAGGAAGCACTGCTAAGTAAGAGTTTAATCCACAGCCCATTGAAGTCAATGGAAAGCCTCCAATTGACTTTAATGACTTTGGATGAGATCTATTCATGATATATACTTGATGTAGGAGATATTGCTGAGTGGTGTTCAGGGACTGACCCAAGTAGAGCACATTGTAGTAGTCCAATCTGGAAGACACAAATGCATAGATAGCTTTCCTAAGTACCACATCCAAGGGGAGAGATTGCAGCTTTCTAGCCAAGTGCACTGTGGATTTGAAAATGTTGTATTCATGTTGTAGTTCATGATGCGTTGTACTGAGTATGAGTGGCGCTGCTTTTCCCAGGCCTTTCTGCAGTTCCTGAAGAAGATAGTTGCTAATGAAGGGAAAAACAAAATGAACTTATGGAATGTTTCCATGATTGTTGCACCAAACGTCTTCATCTACAAAGGCAAACATGCAAACCAAAAAGAGATGCAAGCAGCAGCCACTACGGCACACATAGTGAGACTTTTAATTAAGTACCAGGACATCCTGTGGACAGTGAGTAATGCTGACTACAGTATATGTGCTTTGGTTCCCGTATTTGTTTTTATAGGTTTCAGAGCTGACTGCAGCAGCCACACAGAGACAAGGAAACATGCAGCAATTTCTGCCTGGAACACACAACTGACAATGGTGAAATTAATCTCTGTACAATGCTTTGGTCCATTAGCCTTGTGTTCGCCTGCTATGCAAGCTTGAATTTTGCTCAAAGGGAGAGCATTAATATACTGTGATTAGATTCATGTAAGCACCAGCTAGCTTTAAGTCAGTACAAAATTCTGTTTGTAAACCATTTTCAGAAGTGGTTGTTTCATGTCTTCAAACGTGGTACATCCATATACGTGCAGGGTAACATTGTGCTTTTACTTCTACATAGCAAGTGTGAGACTTCACTTTTAGTGTATTACTTAAGGGAGGAAGTGAAAATGGAGATCAGCTTTACTCATTGGCTTGTCATTCTTTTATTAACCTTTTTGAGGACTGGATGGAGCTGTTCATTTCAAGGCTACTCACTCAAATCCAGTCCATGCCAATATTGATCAGAAGTCATTACCATCTGATGGCTTTTGGTGGCCTACGTGAATGTGCTGGCGGTCTCTCTTCCCTT